GCTCACTGTTACGATTTCCAGGAAAACATTTCAGGCGATGGCTCATTTAAGCCGAAGTATTCCTCCATAGAGAAGCCGGAACACTGCAGACCTAGGCAAGAAGGGCCCTTGGGCCAGGCCCTGCACTTGGGAGTAACCCCTCCTGGCCCTCTCCCAGCCACGGACCTCCCTATGGAGCAAGACCGAGGAGATGCCAGGACTCAGAATCTGTGCTCTCCCTTCTGGAAAGTGCTCCAAATACTCCAGATCCTGAATTCTAGTCCCAAAATGGCCCCAAGCCTACTCTTAGGGTCTGTTTGACCGCTTTCCTGGATATGGCACCCTGAGAGCCAGCCATACCACCGGTGTGCACAGCCCTAGGTCCAGAGCAGGATTATTTGTTGGGGGGTAAGGACGAAGCTGAAGCGTGCAGGCTGGAGTGCCCACATTCCTGCGTGCAAGGCCCACTCACCACGTGGGAAGGAGTCAGAGCAGGGAAGAGACAATATTCACTCCTGCGGTTATATGGGCCTGCTTTTGTACTCCTGCCCTGGGTCCGGCATGACGAGGGGTGGGTCTGCCCTAAACCTATACCATCCAGTCACCGCGTACAAATTTAGAACTTTGTATCTTTATAAGCCATAACATCACACATTTTAATAATAGAAGTTTGATTTTCAGTAAAGTCTCTGTTCATGGAACAAACTATGGATCTTGTCAGGAAGACCATATGCGAAATGGGAATGTCTCTATCGTTTTCTAACTGTAGACCTGGGGCAAGTCTCTTAAATTCATTATCCTCATCTGTAAAATGAAGCAAGTAACAGCAACTATCTTAAAGGGTCAGTGTGAGGATACACGAGACGGTCCCTTGCGTGAGGCCCGGCATGCTACAAGCGCTCAGTGAATGTTGGCTGTTACTGACCTCAAGGAGTTCAGAAATCCTTCCCTTGTACAGGGACAGACACACGGACCGTTGCTTCCTCTCTACTCTTCCATTTACATTCGTGGCTGCTGGTTTGTTGAAGGGTGCCGGTTTTCCAGTATGATGCTTCAGAACTCGTGTTGGCTGAGAACTCCGAAAAGTTTATTAGAAGAACAAATCACCTGTAGGAAAATTCATGTCACCTCTACACCCTGCCAAGATCTACCAGATAGACCTCAGCCTTGTGTTTACCCAAGATGATATTTCTAAGCTATGATAGTTGTTTTGAGATAAAAATGGAAAAGCTGCTTTAGAGAAGAAAACTTACAAACTGAATTTTAAGCAGAATTTTACATTTTGCTTCTATATCTAATGAGAATTCCTATGCCTAATCCATTTAGAAGGTCCAAGAAATTTTCACGGTAGAGAATTATCCTTGTCCTACCTCTGTGTTAACATTTCATTCCATGATATTTTAAGTGTATTTTATGGGGTTTCGTTGGTTTTGGCATTGTCTCTCTTAGACTTCTGAAACCTCTCTTCCAACATTAGTCATTTTTTTGGAGTTCCACTCACAGACGGTCTGCTATTCTTTTAAGCTTGAGGATTGTATCAGCTTGGCCCCATTTGCATGTTGTCATCGTCCTCTAGGGTGTGAAAAAGGTTACCTGTGGCTTAGAGGTTTGGTTTCCCTGATGTCATCTGGAGTTTGTTGGCATCTAATACCCATCTCTTTTCTTTTCGTTTTATCTTTTCTTTTTTCTTTGTTTTTCTTTCTTTCTTTTCTTTTTTTTTTTTTTTTTTTTTTGGCAGAATGGGTCTTCTAGCCAAAGACGAAGATTTAATCCCCAGTACCATAACAACAGGCTGAATGGCTCTGCCAAGCCACAGGGCGGTGGAAATGAAGCTGATTTGATGGCAAAGGGCAACAACCGCCATGAACACAGAAGACAGCCACACAACGGCTTCCGTCCCAAAAACAAAGGCGGCGCCAAAAACCAAGAAGCCCCCTTGGGGACAAAGACCCCCGAGGCCCCAGCCCATTCGGAGAAGCCCCGGCGAAGGCAGCACGCTGTAGACAACTCGGAGGCCAGGCCGTTCCGGGGGAACGTCGCTAGGGTTTCACAGTGCAATCTCTGCCCCACGAGAATAGAAGTTTCCACAGACGCCACGGTCCTCTCGGTCCCAGCGGTGACGTTGGTGGCCTGAGTGAGGAGGAAGAAAAAAAGCAGTTTTCACTCAGTTTTGGTTCCCTGCCCGAGGTGCTGACCCAGTTTGCTGCCAAAAGAGAGTCAGTCAGAATGTGCAGACCCTCTGTGGTTGTGTCATCCTCTCTTAATCATTTTTACTAATTCTAATAATCAGCCCTAGCTTGCTTTCATAACTTTCATGGCTTTGCTTGATCTGTTGACGCTTTTTCTCATCAAGACATCGCAGCATTTTAGCCCGGCAGTATTTACTCGTTTGTTAGGAAAATCAAGATGTGGCTACAGATCAGAGGCTCAGTAGCAACCTGTGTTGTAGCAGTGATGTCAGTCCATTGATTGTCTTTAGAGAGTTAATGTTGGGAAAAAAAAAAAATCTTACCGATCAGACAACCATGATCTGCTGAAGACACATGCGCTTTTGTAGAATTTAACACCTGGTGTTTTTCTGAAAAAGAAAATATATATATATACATATATTGCTTTATTTGAAACAAATTAAAATATGCTGCATTTGACACCTGGCTGGCTTTTTTTTTTTCTTTTTTTTTTTAATAGATGCCCACTTTGTTTTTCAATGTAGGCCCTCCGAGGAAACTGGAGGGAGTGTGGCTCAGAGCTCTTCCCAGTATGTTTGCTCTTAGGGCAAGTACCTTTTCAGAAAAAAACAATGCCTCACAGTGGCCCCGGCTGGTCTGTTGCCCCACATATAAATGGGTAGTATGCACCCCAATCATCTTAGACACCATGTGGTAATTCGGAAGCCTTGGTCGCAAGAAACACAGACCTCAGCTTAGCCTCATTGAAACAATAAAGACAATTTATTGGTTCAGTGACTGAAAAGTCCAGCAACAACATATGCTTTGGGTCCAGGTTAGTCCAGACTCCAGCTCATTTCTCTTCATTAGCTCAGCAGTCCTTCCTCCTTAGGCTGACATCGTGTTCGGAGAGGTCCGGGCAAATAGCTACTTTGCTCCTAGGGTTCAAGTCCAACCCCTGCACTGTCCAGAAGAAAAGAGACGCTGTCCAGGTAGCATCCACATGGAGCACGTGTCCTTGTCAGAAGTCTGCGAGGAAAATTGTTGGCCCAGATTGCTGGTAGGCCTGTCACTCAGCCAGTCAGCAAAATGGGGGAGGGGGCAGCAAAGAAGGTTTACTAATTAACATAAACTGGCTGGATCCCAGCCTTGGAGCTGGGGTGTGGCCAGTTCCCCAGAAGCACAGGGGCCTATAGGAAGGGCTATGGTTTCCTCAGGAAGGGAGAATGGACGCTGGGGAGCCCAAGCCCCAAAGAACCCCAAATCCCGTATCTTTGACTTCAGGGCAGCTCAGTGTGGGCCCTGCTTGCAACAGCTTCCTCATGTCCTACAGATTGGTTGGCCTCTCTCAAGTGCACACGCTGACTTCCAGCTCAATGTGAACGTTTTTTCTGGCAACCCAGCTTGAGCGGTTCTCTTGCACCGAGCAGCTGAGCCTACAGGCCACGCGAGCATCCGTTTCTTTGGCCAAGAGCAGGAGGATGTTTGCTTTCTCCGGAGAGAGCTTTCTCAGGTCTCTGGATGTACCAGAGATTTAATAGGAATTTTAAATGTTAAGTCACATTCCAGGAAGGAAGGAAGAGTTTGCTCGTTCAAATAAGAAAGATAAATGTTCAGGACTGCGATCCCCGTTTCCTCCATCTGAGGCCCTGAATTTATATTTTACAAGACAGAAGGACGAAGCACAAATTTTGTGTAGCGAGGTTTGGCCTGCCACTGAGAAATGTCAGTGTGTATGTGACAGCTTTAAAGATGAGTCAAATAATTCTTGCAACAGAAAAACAACGGGTTTTCCAGATCAGGGGTGCGCCTTCCTTTGTGGGCTGCGCTGGCCCCACTGCTCTCGGCCTGGACTGACTCACCAGCTCCTGTTGCTCTCAGCGTGAAGGCAGCTCAAACACATTCCCTGAGCACAATGCAAATGCACCCAGGTCACAGAAAAGAAACCAAGAAGAGTGCTAAAACGTGTTCAGACCTAATTTTGGTTTTTCCTAGATTTTGTCTTTCTTAGAAGACCCCAGGCATGGGAGCCTTTACTAATTCACGTGTTTGAAATGGTAATTTCAATATTAGAGTGCCACTGTCAGGCCATTTGAATACTATATGACATCTATTCAGGTAGAACCATTGTGATCTTAGCTGGGTAGTAGACCGCCATTCTTTTAAAATGTTTTAAATTCCTTTAAAAAAATCCACAGTCACGAGCACTTTCATGTTTCTGCTTAATGCACAAGAACCCGAAGAATAGATTCCTCACTCTTAAACATGCCTCTAGTGGAGGTTAAATAAAGCATTTTAATACCCATGAAGATTGAATCACTTCAAAACTCACCTACATTGTACCAAGACTCCATCTGTGAAATCCAACCTCTTTCTTGGGTTCCCATCACTTTCCAAATTTACATTCCATTTGAGAGTGTCTGCTTACTCTCCAAGGGGTGCCGAATACAGCAAGGCTTAGAGAGTTAAACACAAGTCATACAAAATTCACCCTCAAGAAAAGACGTAGAGGAGTTGGAGGGAAGAAACTAGAAACGTAACATATCTGCTTTAAAGCTCAGTTCACAAGTAGTTCAATGCTGCTGGCATCAGAAAAAGAGATTCTAATTAAATATTCCTAGGGAAGCGACATCAAATGAGGTTAATGGGAAAAGTTGCCAGACCAACAGTGACCTGCAGATTTTTGCCAAAGTAAGGGATTTGGGAATCCTGACTCTGAAAGCCTAGATCTGAGCCTTGGTTTCAATTTAATCATGAGAAGAGGGAACCTAGAACCTGGTCAGTTCTCTTTCCTGGGGCAACTAGGGTGCCGGTGGAGAAGGGGGAGCTGAGAATGCGACCCGACCCCCCGGATGCCTAAATTCCACACCGCCTTTGACTGAGAGCTTGACCCTGGCTCTCTTTCTCCCTCCCTTTTTGCACTGTCCCCCACCCTGTCTGTTTCGAGTGCCCTCTTGTGTCTAGAGATGGTAAAAGATCTTCACTTCTCTATGGCCGCTCATGATAGCATCTGTGAACTAGGCAATGGCACTTCGTTACTCCACCAGCTTCAGAGGCCTTACCTAAAATTCTGGCACAGTTGGGCTAGGACTCCAGACTTCCCTGCAGGCACCGAAAAACGACACAAAAGACAAAGAACCAGTTACCTGCTCCCACATTTCGTAAGCAAACTCATCACCTCCATCTGAATTATTCAGCTGCCTATTACACTGCTCCAGCATTTTCCTGAAAGTACTGAGCCATCGTAACTGCTCGAATCTGGTGAGAAAAAAATATGATGTGTTGCTAAGTCCCAAGGATTCTCTTCTTACCTCAGAATTTGAAGCACAATTTTAATACTATTCACTGTAAGCTATTACAACGAATTTTTTTTCATCCTTTTGCTTTTTCTAACAAGGCTTTCTAAATCCTAAGCAAGTTCTCAGTCTAATCTTAGTATCAAAGAACCAGGTCCCCAGTCCTTGGCAGTGGGTCGGCCCAAACCAGTGTTTAATCCCAATACAGTGGCCCCTTGAGCAAAGGCACTCTGGTCTGGATCTCGTCCTGCTATCTGAGAAACATACAATGTTGCGCTCCCCAAGCAGGTTCTTATAAATTATTTTCGGGGGTTGATTTTCAGAGGCCCCCTTGTTTGTGAACTCTGCCTCTTCTCACAGCTCACAAGAGCTTTGGGTGCCACCGCTAAGTTCAAGTCTCACAGGTGACATCGTCACACACAGTTTTTAGGGAATAAATAAATTGTAAGCATATATTTTTCTCTGCTTGAGAAAATATGTAGATTTCTCACAAAAAAAAATTTCAGAACCACGTGTGCAACAATGACCAAAGAATTTCTACAGAAAACGAATGTAGAAAGTACCTCCCGTCAAAAACAGAAAACTACCCTATATTTTAACTTCAAATGCTTAAGTTTGAATTAGATTTGCCTGTTTCTAGTCCTTTGTGAGACCTCACTTTCTATAAATTACCATCACTCTGTACCGAGTTGGCTAATATTATTATTACCCCTCTGTCAATGCCTGACACACAGTAGGAACTCAAGAAATACAAGAGAGCAGACAGGAAAGAGTGGTCAATTCCAATACCCCTAGAAAATTCTGGAGCCTAAATGGCTTTATGCAAAATAATCCAGTAAGTCAATTCTAGAGAAGATGGGAAGACAACAGAGCAACAAAATCCTGTCCTTGGTGGCAGACTGCCTAGATTCGCTTCTAGGCCTCACCACGGCCCAGCTGTGGAAACTTGGGTATGTTTCCAAACATCTCCCTGCCTCAGTTTCTCTGTGGGCTGATAACCACACCTATAACAAGCCTTGAAGCTTTGTTATAAGGATTGAATAAGTTCATCTTTGCAAATGACTTGGAATAGTTTCTGGCAGTTTGTACGTATCAGGTTCCAATTAGGGGATAGTAGCCACAAAGTAATTTAAATGGGGAAGGTTTATGAATGTGTATGTGGAAACTTCATATGTATGTTCTTTTTTATGTGTGTCTATATATGTTTATAATTGAGAGAAGAAATAATTAGTAACAAGGCGTTAGCTATGAAAGAATGCAAGAATAGCAGATAGAGGGACAATTACCACTGGAGTAGAGACCAGTGTCCAAGGGAAAAAACAAGTTTGGGCCAGCTTCCTACCCCTGCTCACTCAGGCCACCCTGGTGGCTCTTCTTGGAGCAGGTCCTCTATCTACATTGAGGGGGAAGAAAAGGGCTTTTTCTGACTCTGCTGGGTTTTGATTGCTTTCAACTCAAAATAATCTTCATGCCCAAGTAGCCCACCTTGAGGCAGCTACAATACCAAAACCAAAAATGGAAGTGGAAACTAACAGGATATATGTTTTAATTGGCAGGCGTGAGACACCCCTTCTTTGGTATCATCCCCTCCCTTAATCCCCAAGGCTACGATTGACAGCAGGGATGTTTCTTCATATACCCAGGGCCCCCAATTAGGAGACAAATTATTTTGCTCAGGTTAAGACACCCAACTAAAACAATGGTTCTCAACTGGGGATAATCAAATGTGTGCCCACCCCTTACCCAAAGAAGACATTTGGAAAAGTCTGGAGGCATTTTGATGACAGGAACTGGGGCAGGGGTCACTGGCCAGGGATGCTGGCACAGTTACCCACCACACAGAATGATCCAAGATGTCATGTCGATGTTGAAAAATCCTCATCTTGAGGGAACAAGGGATTTGCAAAAAGGCAACACAGACAGAGCTGGTGAGAAAGTACATGTTGTCTTACTCCCCCAACTATGCTGGGTTCTTGACCGGTTCGGCCTCGCTTACCAGTTAACATCCAGATCATCTGAACCACCTGTCATCTACATCAAAGTCGAGTTTCCACATCTTCCAAACCAAGAATTTAGGGGATGAGTTCTTGAAAGAGCTGCTATTGAAGCAGAATGTCCAAAGTTTGAAGAAATCTTGGCAGATGGAAGCAATATTTGCTTTTTCCCAACCTCAGCAAATACGCTACCTTTTGCTTTCTGTAACGTGCTCTCGGTTTAAAACAAGCTTCTCTTCTATGCTCCGGGCCCCTGGTTCATCCCTGTAGCTGGGCAAAATCTTACTAAGGTAATGAGGGCTTCAGGGTAAAGGAAGGAAATCAAAAGTACGAGACGCAATAGTACAGAAGGAGAAGTTGTTAAATAAACAAGTCGGGCTGAACACTGACTGCCAGTTACTATACAATTCGATTTATCTTGGTTACAGCCTACCTCAGGAACTGTCTAGCTCGCGGATATGAACTGTCTATGGGCTGTCTCGGGCAACACATGTGAACAAAGAAAAATTAGCTTTTCTGGAGCAATGTGGAACGATGTGTAAGCCATGTGTGTCTCACGAGGCTGACAGGACTGTAAGTGAAAATGGCCCTTCTGAGGCTGCACCACTAACCAAATTCCATGAATAGGAAATTCTGAAAACAGCTGGAAACCAGTGTTTTTTTCTTTCCCCCTGTTAGCTATTCGTGTTTGCTTTTTTGGCTGCACTACATGCCTGAAACCCTGCATACTAACTGCAGCCCTCGACAAAGAATGCCTCATCCACTCTTCAGGGAGGAATCAGCACCTTGTTGACAGTTTTTGAGGGAGTTTCCACATATGGCAGAATGACAGTACTTTCCATCAGTAGAAAGTTCCTAGTTACTTTAGGAATACACAGATGTAAAAATTTTGAAAATACTTTCCATTTGCTATAGTAGAAGTTCTTTCCCTTCATTTTATCAACTTTGTACTTTCCACTTTGTCTCTAACCAACATCCTACCAGATATAGACTGAAGCTATCCAAAGGAATTGCAGGTAGAAGGCGACCCGTTCTGAGGTAACCTCATATTCATACAAATATTAGCATCCTCCCTTTTACAGAACAATTTACTACCACAAGTATTCGTGCACATTCAAAATGTTATTTATTTTTTTTAAGATTTTATTTATTTGACAGACAGAGAGAGATCACAAGTAGGCAGAGAGGCAGGCAGAGAGAGAGAGGAGGAGGCAGGCTCCCTGCTGAGCAGAGAGCCCGATGCGGGGCTCGATCCCAGGACCCTGGGATCATGACCTGAGCCGAAGGCAGAGGCTTAACCCACTGAGCCACCCAGGCGCCCCTCAAAATGTTATTTAAATCAAAAATGTTCTATGAACAATTTCTCAGGTAAAGTCAAATATGCTTGCATGTTAATTCCTTCTTTAAAAATCCAGGACTAGCTGGATAATTATACTATATTTAACCACAGACTGGGAATTGAGTCAACAATTTTTTCAGTGTTAGCACTTGAATAGGATTAAGTCTGTGAATGAAAAAGAAACTGCATCAGCAATTCTAGCAGAAACAATGAAGCCGGAGGAGGGAGGCCAGACTTTTTTTCCTTTCTCAGAAGTCAGCACTGGCATCGACCTCCTTGAGATCTCGTGATCCGTGGCTCTGGATTACTTTAAACAACTTGACAAGTCCTATAACTGTTCTGGTCATTTCTGACGGTAATTGTGGTCATTAGCAATAATCACCCTACGAAGGAACTTCCACTACCACTTCTGTTCTGACAGGATATACTCTGCAAGGTCGGAAATCAGTTTCCACAGCTCCTGAAGATTGCTACCAGACACGTTTTTAAAAATAAATATGGCGGGGAGAGAGCGGGGGATGGCTTTAACTGTTCAGAAATTTACTGAAGGGGGCGCCTGGGTGGCTCAGCCCTTAAGCGCCTGCCTTCGGCTCAAGTCATGATCCCCAGGTCCTGGGATCCAGCCCCACATCGGGCTCCCCCACATCAGCGGGAAGCCTGCTTCTCCTTCTCTCACTCCCCCTGCTAGTGTTCCCTCTCTTTCTATGTCTCTATCAAATAAATAAATAAAATCTTTAAAAAAGAAAATTGACTGAAGGACTACCATGTACCAGGTACGGCACAGAGAGGCAACAAAGTGTAACAGGCATGTAATCCAAATACAATATTAATACTTTCCTGCTCAAAAACTGAATATTAAACAAGTTCACATTTTTAGTCTCCTTCCTCCATCTACCGTTTCCTTTGGTCGGTGATGTTGTGTTAGTCTGTCGTTATCAGTTGAGGTGGGTGTAGGGGGTGTTACTACCGTACAGCCTTTATTTTGCTCAACCTCATTTTTTTCTCGATCTTGAAGGAACTGGGAAAGACGACCTTCATTATGTTGTTGTTCTGAGACTAACAAGCAAAATGAACACAATCAAATAGAATATATGAAAATATTTTATAAAACTGTAGTGTAAGGCAATAGTGAACCAAAAACTTACTATTTACAAATATGAAACATAAAATTGTCAGCCTTAGGCTCTCCATGATATAACTAACCAATTTTAATCAGGCCAACCAGTTTTCAACAAAGATTACTACCTGTAAGGGCATCATAATCAAATGTCTTTTTTTGAAATGAGCAGTAACTAAATATCCTTCACTCGCCATTAAAATTTTCTATTGTGTCAGGGCGCCTGGGTGGCTCAGTGGGTTGAAGCCTCTGCCTTCAGCTTGGGTCATGATCTCGGGGTCCTGGGATCGAGCCCCGTATCGGGCTCTCTGCTTGGCAGGGAGCCTGCTTCCTCCTCTCTCTCTCTGCCTGCCTCTCTGCCTACCTGTGATCTCTATCTGTCAAATAAATTAATAAAATCTTTAAAAAAAATTTTTTCTATTGTGTCCTTTGACCCAAGAACAGCACAAAACTATATTCCCAAAGTAATGACACTGAACCGTTATTTATAAAGCATACTTTCCTATTTCTTATTTTTCATTTTCCAAGAAGAACAATGGGCTATGATGAGTTATTCCTTTCCCAGAATCTTGAGAAATGTGTTTTCATGCAAAAATTCCTAATCCCCCCCCCCCCAAAAAAAAATCCCTAATCCCCGGGGAACCACTCCAACTAATGTTCAAGTTACTTGAGCGTTCGGAATTTGACTTTGACTCCTGATACCCAAAAGGGGCCACTTGTTCCTTTCTACCTCAGCGGCACCACGGCCTGGTAGCTATTCCAAAAACTCTGCTCATAAAGATGTGCTAAATAGATTACCTTTAAACTGTTAGCGGCAAAGAAGGGCAGGCTGCTCCCAGAATCACCCAGGAGCACAGGCACACCTCGTTTAATTGCACTTTGCTTTGTGCTGCATAGGTGGTGCACTTCTTACAGACTGAAGGTTTTGTGGCAACCCTGCACCAAGCAAGTCTACAGGTATAAAATATTCTTATGTGAATCAGCAATTCAAAATGCCCTAGATCCAGCAATACTAGCAAAGTCTGAAATGGAAGTTTCCCCCAATTCACTGTGATCTTTGATATTCAGAATGCTTGGATTCTTTACAATAGTATTTTTCAAGGTGACTAAATATTTTTTATATTCTATAGGGAAATGTCACTCATGAACCGTCAGTTGAATATTCGCTTTTTTCTAGCCAAATAAAACACCTATTTTAAAAGGCTGCTGGTATCTGGCTAGCTATCCAAAATCAGTTTAATTATTTCATATATTATCTAGACAAGAAAGCAATTTTGTAACCAGAAATAGATAAAGCATTAAACAAACCACCTCTCAGACTCCCAAGGGGCTCTAGGGCTTAAAAATAAGCACAGTCATGGAAAACGTTACTTTTTATGGAAAAGCTTTAATTTATTTTGTAAAAAGTAATGCTTTGAGTATATTTACTCTACCCTTTCAAAGTAATGCAAGTACAATGATAAGCACAGAGTAAAAAGTATCCTGCTTTATGAACTTATTTTTAATACACTGAAGGCATACTGCTTACTGAAGGTAGATATGTGGGATCCAATTATAAAACTTAACATGTAAGAGCAGACACAAACAACTGAATAGTTGTGAAAAAATAGAGGATTAATCAAAATATTCTGTTTAAAAATATTAAGTTCAAGGTAAGTGGGAATTTTATGCATAAAAATCATATTGTATAATCAGAATGACTCCTCATTGGTCATTCCGGAGAAACAAGTAGTAACTTTAGTTAAAAGTTAATGCTTAACTTCCTTTTCAAAGTACTTTAGAATTTCACTGTTCAAATTAAAATAAAATATTTTAGCAATTCATTCTGAAGACTGTTACATAGTTCTCATCCCAAGACATCTTCTTATGATGTATAAATAAATCTGCTAGCAAAAAAAGGTAAGAAAGAAAACAATCTAGGAAAAGAAAATAGTTCAATTGAGTCAGAGTCAAAGTGTGATCTTAAATTACTATTCCCCCCCCCCTCGTCATTTGTTTTCACGAAGCCTTCTGGGACTGAAAGAAACCTGCAGGGAGCTCACCTGGGTCTGAATTTTCTATCAAATCTCTTGGCTGTGACACAGCACAGGGGAACACTAATGTCACCCTATTTCACCAGACGGGAATATCTAACCCCATTCGGCCCTGGGCAGCAATGAGTAACATTACAAAAGTGCCTAAAGTCTATAATTATTCAGCAACAAAGTGTACTTCTGTAGTGATGATTTTACCGTACTGTTCGGTTGCCTTAAGACCAATGAACCATTAAAAAAAAAAAAAAATTTAAAAACCTGAAATTCAAACCGTCAGTAGACAACCATTTCCAAGTTGAGACAAGATAGGCCCAACCACTTAAAGTCTCCCTCTTCCATGCCTACTTGACACAATTCATATTTCCCGTAATGATCCTAAAGAAACCCAGGTTTCCAGCCCTACTGCACCACGAAACAGGGCCACGGAAGAGCCGCGCACGCTCGGGCGCTCCGGGAGGGGAGCGGGACGCTTCCGTCAATCAGCCTGACCCCGCCCATTTTCGGTCCGCGCGTGCGCGCCGGGGGCTTCCGGGGCCGGCAGGAGCGTCTCCGCGGGCCTGGCTTCTGCGCCGGCGGCCGGGGGCGGCCCGGCGGCGCACAGTGGAGTCCGCTTCAGTTTTATCACGCGGGGCGGGGTGGCCTTCTTGTCGGAGAGCAGGGCCTTGGCGGGAGGCGGGTGCGCGGCTCCGTTCTCCGCGCTCCCGGCCCCACGAGGAGCCTGGGGCTGCCCGGGCAGCGCAGCGCCCGCCCGGGACGGGGAGCGCGGCGCTGCCTTCCCGCCTGCAGACTGGAGGGCGCCGGCCGGGGACACCCGGACCGACGCCGAGTTCTTGACTTTAATTTGGGTGCTGGTGGAAGGGCCCAGGAACCTGACCGGCTTGGGACCAGTCTTACAGTTCACACCTTCGTCTTCCTCGTCACTGAACGCCGTCAGTCGCCTGTGAACACAGAAGCATGTCCTGGTCAGCGTTTACAGGGCTGGGCGACCCGGAGACGCGTCTCCGAAGTTCTATCTTCAGGGCAAAAATCGTTTTCCTCAAGAATTTGAGTCAAAAGGTTCGGAGGCATCAGCCTACCTCATCTCCTCTCCCATCAAGGTCAATAAATAAGTCATCAAGTTTACATGATATTGTTCCTACTTGAAAACACACTCTTTAAAATCACCATAATGTTAATAAGAACGACAACTTGAAATGTACTATGTTATACTAGAATTACACATCACTTGGTTCCTAAGAATCCTCAAGTGGTCCGGAGGATAACCAGGATGATCCCAAGTTGTTTTGTTTTCCCAGAACAACAGTTTTTTAAGAGAGTTATTGAGGAAATTTACTGTTTCACAGTCCAATAAACTCCTTGAGAAATGCTACTGCATATTTTACTCACCTCTTGAAACTTTACACTCTAATTTAACAAAGTTTCTGAGGTCTAAAGGCCACTGTTTAACTTTGTTGTATCCGTATTTCCCAATAATTCTGTAATGCAACATTTGGCATCCAGTAAAATTAGCATTTTTTGAAATGCATTTGGGGAGCTGCTAGAATGGTCAAACCCTTGGTATACTTGGATGCTTTTTGAATTTGAGAGGTACTGGACAAACCTTCAGAGATACCTGAATTGAGTCTGCCATTCATTATAAAAAGTCTGAAGGCAGAGCAGTGTTTTAATTTTTAAAAAATTCTATTTATTTAAACAAAAAAAACCCACCCTAGTTTACCCATTTCTTCCCTCCCCCAGCCCTTGCCTTTGACAACCACTAACGATTAGTTCTTTGTATCTAACAGCTTGGAATTGATGGGGGGAGGGTCCACATATTAGATCATATTAAATCATATTAGGTATTAGATCACACTTATTTCACTTACTGCCCTTAAGGTCCATCCATGTTGTAACAAATGGCAAGATTTCATTCTTTTTTATGGATGAATAATATTCCACTGTGTGTGTGTGTAGCACTTATATACACACACACCACATCTTTTTCCATCCATCATTGACACTCGGGTTTTTCCATATTGTAAACAATATTGCAATGAACATAGGGATGTATATATCTTTTCAAGTTACTCTTTGCATTTTCTTCGGATAAATACCCAGAAGTGAAATTGCTGGATCATATGGTAGTTCTACCTTTAATTTTTTGAAGAGCCTCCATACTATTTTCCATAGTGGCTGCACCAGTTTACATTCCCACCATAAGTGCACAAGGGGTCCCATCTCTCCACATCCTTGCCAACATTTGTTCTCTCCTTCTTTCGGATAATAGCCATCCTAACAGATCTGAGGTGGTATCTCATTGTGGTTTTGATTTGCATTTCCCTGATGATTACTGATGTTGAGCATCTTTTCATGTACCTCTCAGCAATCTTCTCTGGAAAAATATCTATTCAGATTTTCTGCTCATTTTATAATCTTTTTTTTTTTTTTTTTGCTATTGAGTTGTATGAGTTCCTTACATATTTTAGATATTAGCTCCTTATCAGATATATGATTTGCAAATATTTCTCCCATTCAGCAGGTAGTCTTTTGATTTTGATAGTTTCCTTTGCTTTGCAGAAGCTTTTTAGTTTGATATAGTCCCACTTGTTTACTTTTGCCTTTGTTATTTTTGCTTTTGGTGTCAAATACCAAAAAAAAAAAAAAAATCATTCCCAAGGTCTATGTCAAGTTACTTACTACCTCTGTTTTTCTTCCAGGAGTTTAATGACTTCAGATCTTATGTTCAAGTCTTTAATCTATTTGAGTTAATTTTTGTGTATGGTGCAAGATAGGGATCCAGTTTCATTCTTTTGCGTGTGGATGTCCAATATTCCCAACACCATGTACTAAAGAGACTGTTCTTTATAGGTATCTTTATTTCTGGGCTTTCTATTCTGTTCCTCTGATCTATGTGTCTAGTTTTATGCCAATACCATACTGTTTTAATTATTATAGTTCTGTAATATACAGTAGTCTGCCCTTTCTGCAGTTTCTGCAGTTTAAATTACCCACAGTCAACCATGGTCTGGAAGCAGATGATCCTCCTTCTGACTATAATCAGAATGTCAGTACTAGCCTAACACCGTGTCACAATGTCATTCATACTATGACTACTAGCCTAACGCTATGTCTATGTCCTTCACTTCATCTCATCAATACGCATTTTATCATCTCACATCATCACAAGAAGGGTGATGTACAATACGATATTTAAAGAGACCCCATTCAGATAACATTTATTACAGTATATTGTTATAATTGTTCTATTTTATTAGTTATTATTATTAATCCTGTGCCTAATTTATAAACTAAACTTTATCACAGGTACGTACATATAGGAAAAAACATAGTACATATACAGTTCAGTACTACCCGTAGTTTCAGGCATCTACTGGGGGTCTTGGAACATATCCCCTGTGGAAAAGGAGGGGAGGGGACCATGTTAATTGAAATCAGGGACCATGAGGTTTCCAGCTTTGTCAAATCTTCTTTCTCAGGATTGCTTTGGCTATTCGGGATGTTTTGTGGTTCCATACAAATCTGAGGACTGTTTGTTCTATTTCCATAAAAAAAAATGCCATTGGAATTTTGATAGGGATTGCACTGAATCTGTAGATTGCTTTGGGTAGTATGGACATTTTTACAGTATTCTTCCAATCCATGAGAACAGAATATCTTTCCATTTATTTATGTTTTCTTCAGTTTCTTTCATTTCTTTAATATCTTATAGTTTTCAATAAGCAGGTCTTTCACCTCCTTGGTTAAATTTATTTCTAGATATTTTATTCTTTTTGGTGCAATTGCAAATGGGATTTTTTTTCTTAATGAATCTTTCTGATAATTCATCATTAGTGTATAGAAATAAAGATTTTTGTGTATTAATTTTGTAACCTGCAAATTTACTGAATTTGTTTTCTCTAATTGTACTGATGGTTTTAATGTTTTCTATGTATAATATCATGCCAACTGCAAATAGTGCCAGTTTTACTTCTTCCTTTCTAATTTGGATGCCCTTTATTTCTTTTTCTTGCCTAGATGCTCTGGCTAGGACTTCCAGTACCATGTTGAATAAAAGTGGCAAGAGTGGGCATCCTTATCTTATTCCTGACCTTAAAGGAAAAGCCTTTCACCATTGATTATGTTGCTAGCTGTGGTCTTGTCATATATGGCCTTTATTATGTTGATGTACAGTCCCTCTATTCCCACTTTGTTGTGAGTTTTTATCATAAACTGTTGTTGAATTTTGTCAAGTGCTTTTTCTGTATCTATTGAGATGATCACATGATTTTTGATATGATATCAAAACCTAATGAGACATTTGTTTCAGTTCACAACAGTGATGTTGGAAAATCTTAAATTTACCTCCTCCCATGGATACACTGAGTTTACATCTACATACAGAGCAATTTCCTCTTAAAATCCTAAAGAATAGCTGAGTGACAACTACACATTATTAGTAGAAGAAAGGAAATAAAGATTAGAGCAGAAATAAATGAAATAGAGACTATAAAGACAATAGAAAAGATCAATGAAACTAAGAGCTGGTTCTTTAAAAAGATAAACAAAATTGACCAACCTTTAGCTAGACTCACCAAGAAAAAAGAGAAAGGACTCAAATAAATAAAATCAGAAATGAACAGATGTTACAACTGATACCATGGAGACACAAAGGAGGACTTCCTATGAATAATTACATAGCAAAAAATTGGACAACCTAGAAGAGATAGATAAATTCCTAAGTGATTAAGAGGTACAAGCTTCTGCTTATAAATAAGTCATGGGGATGAAAAGTATAGCCTAAGGGAATACTGTCAATAATATTATATAACGTTGTATGGTGACAGATGGTTAAGGACACTTAGCATGGTGAGCAATGCATAATGCATAGAATTGTTGATTCACTATTTTACACCTGAAACTAATATAACATTGTATGTCAACTATACTACAGTATTTTTTTAAAAAAGGAAATAAGTAAATAAATAAATTTTTAAAAATTCCTAGAAACATACAACCTACCAAGACTGACTCAAGATGAAATTGACAATATGAACAGACCAACTACTAGTAAAGAGATTGAATCAGTAAGCAAAAAGCAACCAGGGCACCTGGCTGGCTCAGTCAGTGGAGCATGTGACTCCTGATCTTGGGGACATGAGTTCAAGCCCCACATATATGGGGCCTGGAGCTTACTTAAAAACAAAACAAAAATACTCCCAACAAACAAAAGTCCAGGACCAGATGGTTTCACTGGTAAATTCTACCAAACATTTGAAGATTTAATACCAATCCTAAACGTTTCCAAATAACAGAAGATGAGGGAACTCTCCCAAATTCTTTTTATGAAGCCAGGAGAACCCTGATACGAAAATCAGACAAGAATGCCACAAGAAAAGAAAATTACAGGCCAATACCCCTGGTGAACATAAATGCAATAATACTCAACAAAATATTAGCAAATCATATTCTACAATACATTAAAAGGATCGTACAACAAGACAAGCATGATTTATTCCAGGGATGCGAGGATGGTTCAACATCTGTAAGCCAGTCAATGCGATATACCACATTACCAAAATGTAGGAATAATCAGAGGGAATATTGTCTGAAATGATCGTAAAACTGTCAAACAACCACCGTCGAAACCCTGCCTGCCTCTTCTACTGCTTGCATCAGTTTCATTTCACGAAGATAGTCTCCTGAACAGGAAGTGTAATGGCAATTCCCCTAGTTTTCTCCCTCTTATCAGCACTGATGCATTTTCAGAGGCAAATAAATGAACTTTGATCCTGGAAATAGGATCATAATGGCATGGTGATCTGAACACTGACATGCAGTAGAGAATACAAACATATCCAACCCTAAAACTACTAAACGTAACTAAATTTAGTTAAGTGAATCAAGTCATTCTTTAGGACCTCGCAGTTGCTTCTAAGTCATCAATATCATTATCTTATCCATGAATCAAAAACCATGCTTAATAAACCAGAGATAAGACAAACAGAGGAGAATCTCCATAAAACCATTCCTGCTTGTTTTTTTCTGTCCACAACTTCCACTAGACTCTTGACCACGTTTTCTCAACCTTAGCATTATTGCCATTTATGGCTGAATAAATCTTGGTTGTTGGTGCTGCCCAGCACATTCTGAGATGTTTAGCAGTGTCCCTGGGCTCACTTACTAGGTCCCAGTAGCATCTCCCACCCCACTGTGTCTCTGAATATTGCCAAATATGCCCTATGGGACAAAAGTGCCCCCATTTGAGAACCACTGCTCTAGACCCAAACAATATTTGCTAACTGTAAGCCCAAAAAGCAAAATAAATAATAATAAAAAGGAGAGTCTTTAAGAAAAAAGATCGTTGAACAAGAGATAATGAACTACTAAAAACTGAATAAAATTCTCTGCATTTCTGTGGAAGATCCAAAGGGTTAGAAAAAAAAAAAGAAAATCAGAGATTCTACAGGGGCACTGAATCAAATTCTAGAACAGATGATCAAGAAATCAGAACATCCAAAAACCATGAAAAATATGATTCTAAATGTATTTAAAGTGAAAGGCAGAGATGTGGAGTGAAGTTAATGCTAATAATTTCATAGAATTATAAGAAATACCATTAAATTGGGCACCTGGGTGGCTCAGTGGGTTAAAGCCTCTCCCTTCAGCTCAGGTCATGATCTCAGGGTCCTGGGATCGAGTCCCAAATTGGGTTCTCTGCTCAGCAGGTAGCCTGCTTCCTCCTCTCTCTCTGCCTGCCTCTCTGCCTACTTGTGATCTCTCTGTCAAATAAATAAATAAATAAAATCTTTAAAAAAAACCATTAAATTAAAATGCTATTTGTGGTAACAGGAAGGAGAAAGGAATTCAGAGTAAGTCAGAAGATTTCAAATATTAAGTCTAATAAGTAAGTTTTTGACTACTGACAATAAAGGCTAGGATTTCACTTTTATAGGGAAAAATACCACAGCATTCTCACTGTATCCACTAGTATTCTTAAAAGCACACTCTCCCAAAAAGGACATACTGTAAGTCAGTTTTAGAGAATTATTTCCAATGTTTAGATAGTTTTGATAATTTTGAATTTATCATGATTTATATTTTGATGGTAAGGCAAAGCACTTAGCTCAGTGATTAGTAAGTTTGGTAAGGTCAAGAACCATTATTCGTTTCCCCAGTAAAAGCAGTAAAAATACAGGTTCAAATTCATAAAGTGAAAAACAGTATGAAGAGAGCACAGATAACCTCTTTCGAATCGGGGCCATGTGACGGAGGCTTCCAAGCAAGGGCCGCTCTTCCAGAGTCCAACATTCTATGAGCTCATGAGGCACCCGCCAGTAGCTAACACCTGGAAGATAAAAAGGCAGAATTAAGAGAGCCACTGTCCCCTGCAAAAGGTTCAGCAGCACGGTTTTGTGTAAGACTAGGCAGAAAGAGTTTGAAATTCAGGCCATCTGAAGAAGGTAGGTGTACACCGGAAGTGTCCCCGAGAAGAGCCAAGGCAACAGCGGCCCAGCTCAGGTCTAGGAATGGCCGGCCACCAGCCCCAGCTCCGCCAGTGATGTTCCGCAGGTGGTCATACGGGTCCTGCACAGGAGGGCATGCGCTGTTAAAGGCGCGGGCTCTGGGGCCAAGACTGCCTTGGTAGTCTTGTCTTGCCACGTCTGTCACTCACTGACCATGCGACCTGGGGAAAGTTACTTAACTTTTCTGTGCCTAAATTTTCTCATCTGTGAAATGACAACAATGGTGCATACTTCATAGGTTGGTTGCGATGATTAAATGAGTAATAAATGCAAAAAGCTTAGTATATGTACTGGCACCTGAACACTTAAGAGACATTAGGTACTTTATTCTATAAATCATAATGTTGACGGTCATGTAAAGATTAGACAGTGAGGGTTCTAACTGCCACCCTATCTACCTCATTGGGTTGCAGTAATCATCAAATAAGGTATATTTTGTGAACTACTCTGTAAGAGGCAACCACTATAAAAATATGAGCTATCACTACCTTACAAGCAGCTTTTCAAGCAAGAATAATCAGAGTTAATGTGTTAGGTCAAGATTGTGGTCAAATTTTAATTTTTCAGTCTGGTTAGGTTTCTGAATGGAAGTTGGAAATGTATTTTTATGAACCTCAAAAACATTATGCTGAGTGAAAAAAAGACAAACACAAAAGGTCACATAGCGTACGATCTCAATTACAGGAAATACCCAGAATAGGCAAATGCATTGACACAGGAAACAGACTGGTGGCGGCCAGAGGCTGAAGACAGAAGAGAATGGGGAGTAACTGCTTACAGGTACTGCCTTTCCTTTTGGGGTGATGAAAATGTTTTGCAACTAGATGGAGATGGTGGTTATACAACATTGTTGACGTAGTAAATGCCACTGAAGTATATGCTTTGATTTTATGTTATGTGAATTTCACCTCAATTCTTAATTAGCAATAATCGTGCCTCGGATAAACCTCATTGGCTACGATACTGCCACTGTGCAAAGCTTCACCCCAGTTTTTAAAAAAGAATCACAAAAAATATATAAAAATGCATTTTAAAAAGACTTTAAAAATGATGTTAGATAAAAAGTGACTGACTTTTCTTTTTAAAGTAATTTTGAAGTCCCAGGAATGGATATGGTGTCCTGTTTTTTTGGTTTTTTTAAAGATTTATTTATGAGAGCGAGAGAGGGAGAGCATGAGCAGGAGGGGCAGAGAGAGGGGCAGAAAGAGAATCTCAAGCAGATTCCACAAGAAGTGCGGAGCCCAATGTGGGACTTGATTCCATGACCCCACCCTGAGCCCAAACTGACAGTCCAATGCTCAACTGACTGTGCCACCCAGGCACCCCTGGTGTCTTGTTTTTTTTTAATCATTAAAGATTTAGTAATATATATTAACCAACTTAGCAAGTTGGGCATATAAGTTATTATATATAATAGATATATCCAGTATTCACAGAAACCTATGGACCTCGTTTTAAGACAGTAATTTTCTGGAACTGCTTCATCATGCTCCCAACCTACTTACGCTACAAAAATATTCCCAAATCTCATCCATTAAGACTTTTTTAAAGTCAGGTTTATTGAGATATAATTTATATAAAATAAAATTCACCCTTTTAAAGTACTCAGTTCAATGAGTTTTGACAAATGTATAGTTTTTTTTGTTTGTTTGTTTATTTGTTTTTAAAGATTTTATTTATTTATTTGACAGACAGAGATCACAAGTTGGCAGAGAGGCAGGCGGTGGGGCGGGGGGGAAGCTGGCTCCCCACTGAGCAGAGAGCAGATGCGGGGCTCAATCCTAGGACCCAGAGATCAAGACCTGAGCCAAAGGCAGAGGCTTAACCCACTGAGCCAACCAGGCGCCCCAACAAATGTATAGTCTTATAATCAAAGCTATAGTCAAGACATAGAACATTTCTGTTACCCCCAAAATCTCCCTTGTACCCCTCTGCAACCAGTGCCTCCCCTCCATTCCCTAATGTTACCTCTTCAGAGGTGGCACATAAATGGCTAGCTTCTTTAGCATGATGCTTTCAAGATTCATCCATGTTGCTATACACATTAATGACCATTTCTTTTTATTGCTTATATTCCATTATATGGATATACCACAATTTAAAAACTTTTATTTTTTTTTTCTCCCTATAAAGTAATTCACTTCCTTTGTACAGAATTTGGATTATATAGAAAAGTATATATTAAAAAAAAATCAAGATCACTTCTAATCCTGAAACTAGAAAACATGGTTCATGACACTTTGATGAATCTGATTCCAATCTTTTTCTTACTCATATGATAGGCACATAATTGAACATACTTTATATTTAATTTTGTTTCCTGCTTTTGATCATTCCATGATAGCTTATTTTATCATGGGCATTCACCTATGTAAAAATTATTCAAAATAGGGGCGCCTGGGTGGCTCAGTCGGTTAAGCATCTGCCTTTAGCTCAGGTCATGATCTCAGGGTCCTGGGATTGAGTCCCACATTGGGCTCTCTGCTCAGTGGGGAGCCAGCTTCTCCCTCTCCCTCTGCCTGCTGCTCTGCCTGCTTGTGTGCTCTGTCAAATAAACAAATAAAATCTTAAAAAAAAAAAAGCTAATGGTTATTTTTTTAAAAATTATTCAAAATAATTTTAATAGCTATAGCTCAACTATATCCCACAGATGTACCAATATGTATTTAATCCTCTATCATAGACACTTATATTGTTTTTATTTTTTCTGTTATGAACAATGCTTCATTGAACACTCTGTTCATAAGCCTTTGTCTGCATTTGTATATGACCTTAGGGTAGATACCTAAAAGTAGAATTATTGAGTCAAAGAATATAAAAAATTTTGATGTTATTGATATATAATGATAAATTATTTCCCAATAAAGTGATATTAATTTTTACTCCTGCCAAGAATTCATAGATCTCTACTAATCTGGTATAAAAAAATAAGTCTCATTTAATATGTATGTCATTGATAAATAACAAGTGTGAACCTCTTGCCACGTGTTTATCTCCTTTCCCAGAAATTTTGTGGTCATGAACTTCGCACATTTATTTACAATAGGGGTTGAATTGACTTTCTAATCAGTGTAAATAAATCCAATCTATTTTAAGGATATTCTTTGTCCAGTTAGTGTAATATTTTTATCTAAGTTTTTATTAGCCTTTTAATCTTATTTATACATTTCTGTTTTAAAGTTAATATATTATTATGTAATCAAATTTATTCATCTTTGTCTTTATGATTTATTTTCCAATTAAGAAAACAGTTATTTGCTTAAGTTTCATTATAGTTTACTATAGCTTCATTTTTCATCCATAATTCACCTGAGATTATTTTGATACATGACATGAGGCTAAGGTTGTTTTCTCCCAAGCATATTTCTCAATTATTAAATCATCTATCTTTTTATACCAATATTTAATACTCCTTATCACACAGTATTTTTATTCTTACAACTCCACTGGGGTTTACTTCTGATCTCTGTATCTTTTCTTATACTGGAAACATATGGTTCTTATTATTACAAATCTCTATATAGTATTTTTACTATCACACAGTGATAGACTCGTTCCTCTAATGACTTCTACTCTCCAAAATGTTCCTATTTCACTGGCTTATTCTTTCAAAGGAATTTTAGAATCATTTCCTCAAGATTCCTCAAGAATTCCACTGATATTTTGGTAGGAACTACGTTAAACCTGTAACTTAATCTGAGAAGTACTGATGTCTTCATGATGAATATTATAAAATCTCTATGAATAGACTTCCCATTCGGAAGCATGGTATGTCTCACCATAATCTTTGTCTTTTTTTTTTTTTTAATAGGTGGATGGATGAATTGATGGATGGATAAACATATTTTGGCAGTTTTCTTCACAAAAGACTCCACAAAAGCATTTTTTTTTCCCCACAAAAGCATTTCCTGATAGGTCAGTCCTAGTTATTTTGTTTATTGTCATTGTGAGTGGGATTTTTCTGCTGTGATTTCTAACTAATCTATCATAAGCTGGTCTCTGTTTACTTATATAGTTTGGTCTACTAAACTCATCGTTTAAAATACCTTTAGTTGATTCCTTTGGGTTTTCTTAAAGGACATACTGTCCCCAAATAATAAATGCCTTCTTCCTTCCAATAATTCTTTATCCTACTTCTGTATCCTTTCTGGTGGTTTTCCACAGGCCTTCCAGAATGGTGTTAAATACCAATGATACCTCATTGCATGCTTTCAAAAAAGCTAAAAATCAGTCTTACACTCCGTTAGTCAGTGATATCAGCTCTCCACTTCAGCTTCCTGAGTCAGTGGACAGAGAAGCCCAGCCAGGGCCCTCCCGAAGGCTCCTGGGCTCTCTGTCGGCCAGTCCAGAGCCACAACAGGAGACACAGAGAACACAGGGTGGGCGGTGGGGGGCGGGCATTGTTCCTCAACTTAAGCCTAAGTGTCTCAAAGTCAATTAAATCTAAAATAAAAAGCTTAAAGAGAATAGCACTTTTTTTTTTTCTATCTGCTTGAGGGGTATGATTTAGGAAAAATAAATAAAGGAGGAAAAGTGAGGGGGACAAAGTCGAGGAAAGGAAGGAGGGTTGGTACTAGCAACCCACCCAAAAGGAGAACAGGTAGTGGGAGAGTTTTTAAAAGCCTCGTCCTCCTTTCCTTTTATTCCATCTTATGTGACTTGCAATGTCTGTCTCTACCAGCTTTTAAGATCATTTGAGGACCAAGATGTGTTTTATTTATCTGTGGACCCAACTTTAGGGTTTCTTACAGGGTTTGCACCTAAGAGACATTCAATACATACTTGTTAATTAAGAAAAAAGCTTAGACATAAAACAGTTAGCGTTCTGTGATCCTTACAAGTGGCAAGGCCTCTCTGAGACTCAATTTTCTCATCAGTGCAATGGTAAACAGCATCCAGAATTGTTTTAAGACTAAGAGATACTGAATGTAAGCCACTTATCACACCGGATACTAAACAGCATTGTTATTATCAAATGATACGAGCGGTTGGTAAAAATGGTCAAATTTCAAAGTGTGTATTTAAAGATGATTGTTTCTTAAGTGTTCTTCAGATATCTTCTATGGTATTATTTTCATTTTCTCTTTTTTTAACTTTTCCTTTTTTTTTTTTTTTTTTTTAAGATTTTACTTTTAAGTAATCTCTATACCCAACATGGGGCTAAAACCCACAAGCCCAAGATCAGGAGTTGCATACTCCACTGACCGAGCCGGCCAGGCAACCCTCCTTTTTTCTTTTGATTGTATAATGCATGCTTAGTTTAAACGTACACTTCCTGGGTACAAAGCTAGGCGCACAGTAGGTGCTAAATAAACTGTTGTTTAATTGAACTAAATAAGCATAACTAATAGATGCTGAAATTATAAACTATTTTTTAGGTCACTGGATTTTAAACAATTAGTAATATCTAGCTATTCGGGAATTTAAAGTTTTTTTGTTTTTTTTTTTTAAGATTTACTTATTTTAGGGCGCCTGGGTGGCTCAGTGGGTTAAGCCTCTGCCTTCGGCTCAGGTCATGATCTCAGGGTCCTGGGATCGAGTCCCACTTCGGGCTCTCGGCTCAGCAGGGAGCCTGCTTCCTCCTCTCTCTCTCTCTGCCTGACTGTCTGCCTACTTGTGATCTCTCTCTCTCTCTGTCAAATAAATAAATAAATAAATTCTTTAAAAAAAAAAAAAAAAAGATTTGCTTATTTTACAGAGAGAGAGCGCAGGGGGAAGGGCAAAGGGAAAGAGAGAGAGTGTCCCAAGCTGACTCTGTACTAAACATGGAGCCCAACTACGGGCTCGATCTCATGACCCTGAGATCGGGATCTGAGCTGAAACCAAGAGTCAGATGCTTAAACACCTGAGCCACCGAAGCACCCCAAGAGATCTCAAGATTTTTAAGTAAACTGCCTTAATCAATTATACTACGCGGCGACAAATACACAAAGATATACTTGACCTACACAAAGAAATACTTTCTCAAAAAGAGAAATGCAGCATTTGAGCTTACTTTGTTTTTTGCCATGAAATAAAAGAATTGTACTATACCTTTTCCTTCCCAGGCATCGAAGGCATCCATCATTTTCTTCAGTTCAGCTACTGAATAATAGCTCCAAATGTACTGAACATTATTTCCCGCCTCTCTAGAAATATTGCGAAAGGTGATGAAAACATACTACCTAAGTATGAATGTGTGCATGTGTAGACACACACACGCACACACACACAACTAGATACTCACCAAGTACTTGTTAATTAAGGGGAAAAATATTTTGGTATTGAATAACATTTCTTCTGTGACCCTCCCTTAAGTATATAGATAATATATTATGTATTATATACTATGGGTATAATATGCTATACTTGTGCTAACCCACATTTGGTCTCTTTTTACTGTGGTAAAGCACTTGTTAATTCCACAATATAGACTGTGCAGACAAATCAACAAATCTTTAAAAATAAGTTTTCTAAAAAATTACTTAACCCCAGGAAGATTTTAAGATTCGCCTTTGACTAAAACTTGCATAGCATTATGCCAAGCACTCACATATCTTATATAAACATCCTGGAAAGAATTCAGAAAATGATGACATATTTAATCACCTAATAAGCAAGTCATGGGGTCATTCATTAGTCAGTAATATGTGACCCAATCCAGCCACCCAGAGAATTAAAAAAATAACAACAACAAAAAACAGGACTGCTAAGTGAACTGACCAATGTTAAGTAAATTTACAGAAAGAATATTAAGAGAATAACCCTTAAGAATTTAACATGTTTGAGTCATAGAATTTTAAGGCTGGGAGGGACCAGGGAAGTCCTTCGTTATTTCTCAGAACAGGTCACCAAGGCACAGGCCAGTCCTGGGTCACTCAGTGGGCCTGCTGACTTCTAAGCAGTGCTTCTGCTCCTGGACTACGTATGGTCCGGGGGGAGAGAGCCAGGCAAGCAGGGGGCTTTGCTTTTCTTTCTTTTCTTTTTTCTAAAGCCTCAGGGGATTGTGATGCCCACTCCCAGTTGCAAGGCAATAGACTAGACCACTGTGGTTGTCCTGTGGCCTACATGCACATCATGAAGCTGGTCTTGCCAGCCAGGGTTCACGCTGCGCGCTGCCCAGTGTCGATCATGTCCTCTAGTCAACCACATACTCCATTCAGGAACACCTCTTACAAGACACCAAGACTTTATTTTGTTCCTTTTCCTATTTAAATTTGGACATACCTTTTAAAAATGCTTTTACTGTGAATTCTTCCTCCCAGCTGCTTATCAATAGCATCTGTTCCATCCGTTTTTGTGGAGTATACACCGATAATTCTGCTCTCACAGCTTGCACCGGATGTGTTAAGATAGTGGAGAACCCAAACTGTTGGCTTATTGCAAACTAAACCATATGAATCACAGAAGTCTGTTAGAGCCTGGAGCAAAAAAAATATACAAAATTTGAATTTAATTCTGGAGTAAAGTAAAAATGAATGTGCTCTATTTCATGTAAAGCTGCATTTTAGTTGGTCATATGGGAAATAAAAACATTATAAATTTCGGCCTAGTCTTTATGCCTTGAAAAAGCAAACATGCTTTTGTTGAATTTGAGGTGAGCGTGGGCCAAACCACAAAAGCCACCACCCAAAAACCCAACACCTTTTCCTCTACCGAATCCTTTCCCACAGAGAAATTGTATTTTCCTTTCCCCCCTCCTTTAGCCTCACTACCAACATTATTTTTAATTTTAAAATCTTCGTATGACAAAAGAGCTTTTTCTTCTCCCTTTATTCGCCCAATTTCCCCTTTGACTCAGTCTTCATTTCACCTTCTACTGAGTAAGCCTCATGGTTGATGCTTATTTTTAACTCCAAGTCCAATCATGAATTAAGCAGATTAACTTGTTCTTTTCCACTGACAGATAGGGATACATGAACCCCATGCAAACTGTAAGAACTCCTTTGGCACTTATCTACCTATTCATTCATTCACTTGAATATTAAGAAGCTGCTCATGTGGTGAGTGGTTTCTAGGGTCCTGAACACAGCGTCCCAACCATCCTTGAATTTATAGCTAAGGTAAAAGACAGTCAGCAAGCCATCAGTGCATAGCGTAAGTGCGACCAGGGGAGCCGATGTCACGCGAAGGGACACAGAGCAGTAGGGCTTCGCCCACTGGAGTGGCAAGAGCTTTCCCAGGGAGAAACAGCATTACTCCTCTGGGAGTGCTCTGAGGACCGGCACTTTTGTCTGCTTTGTCTAGTATCCCAAGTGCCTGGAATCGTGCCTGACTCAAAGGAGATGTTTGTATTTATGGACTCAAGTGAATGAAAATAGGACCCTCATATGTCTTACAGTTTCATTGAATATTGCTATCTAACTGTATGTTGTATTTCTTTGTGTCCCACGTAGTCCCTAGAGCAGGGCTCTATACACCTAAGACACTGGAGATAAGTATGTGTTGGCTGACATGGTGAATGTCCTTTTTGCATACAAATCAGAAAAGACTATGGAGTTGAGACTTCAGAAGATGAATGTCAGCCCACCCCAACTTTCCAGTCAGGTGTTTTAGCCCCATTCTGCAGATGTGGCAAACAGCACCCAATAACTTCTAAGTAACTTCAGTAGCAGAACCCATGCAACCATGCAAATTCCTGAAGGGGATCCGGAACCAAATCACCTTTCTCTTCATGCCGCACTCCTAATAACCGTACCGTCAGCTTGCTCTCCTAAGCCGATGTCCAAATTAAATCAACTGAGATCAGTTTTCACTATTATTAATTATCTAGGAAAAGTATTTTCCTTTTAGATCCCCAAAGGTGTTAAAAGTCAATATAATACTTATTGGTATGACAAAAACAGGTAATGACACTTTTCAAGTCATGTAAAGATCCTTAAAATGTGATTTAAAGGAGAAGCATCTTTAAAAAAAGATTTACTGATCCCAAAGTAAATTAATCAAAATGATGTTTTAACTTAGTAACAAACTGCTACATTCACTAAATCAGGTAGGAGATTTTATACAATCTTTTATTCATCGTGACCATTCTTTTAAAAAGTCATTTCAGTAAATAAAATGCCACTATACTGTTATGTACTACAGTATTGCTGTTAATTTACAAAGAACCTAAAGACCAGAATACTTTTAAAAAGCCATCAAAAGATATTAAATCTTTTCTCTCTCTGTCTACTTGAGATCTCTGTCTGTCAGATAAATAAATAAAATCTTTAAAAAAAAAAGATATTAAATCTTCAATGAGAGAGAAAAACTCCAAAAACCTCTGAGTGGCAATAAAATACACTTTCCTAGACCACAGAATTTTGGTATTAAAGAAATTAATAGGGGTGCCTGGGTGGTTCAGTGGGTTAAAGCCTCTGCCTTCGGCTCAGGTTATGATCCCAGGGTCCTGGGATCGAGCCCCGCATCAGGCTCTCTGCTCAGCGAGGAGTCTGCTTCCCTTCCTCTCTCTTTGCCTGCCTCTGCCTACTTGTGATTTCTGTCTGTCAAATAAATAAATAAAATCTTTAAAAAAATTAATAGTAATTAAGAAAACTGTCTTCAAATGTTAGAAAAAGTAAAACTTTCCCATGTTTGGCTTATGTGGCAACACAAGCTACACAAAATAACACACATTGCTTTGTGTATAAAAATGTAAAAATATATACACATATATATTTTTTAAAACTTAAGAAAATGCCAAGACCTTTTTAAGTTCTATATTTGACCTTAAAGAATATGTCTCCATTTCATTGGCCAAGTGGTCAGACAGGCTGTACGGATAAGGGATGCCAAAGTAATCAGCCTCTTCCTGGAGAGCAACTCGGGTGTGCTCGTCTGTGGGAATGTGAACTTCTCCATGAAGATAATCCAAAAGGTATTTAAATAGATGTCCATCACGGTCAATAACACAAGCCCCTAGAAAACATTCAGTTCAAAAATCATTGCATAGATACACATGATCATAGATAAAATTTCAACATGTCCAACTAAAATCAGACTGAAGACCTCTACAATGAGAAACTTAGTAGCTACGGTTCAAATGGGGTTAGTCAGATTTGGTGATTCTCTGTGTTTTCACCAACCGTACAGGAAAATGTATTCCAAGCTCCATTTGGGATTTTGGATGCAATGACCAGATTCCCGCTGTGGCCCTCTAAAAGCCATGGAGACCCCAGACTGCTCCTGAGATGTAAACTTACCCTAACCTCAACGCTGCCCAGCCATGAAGGACGTATGGAGCTCCTCCCTAATGAGGGAGTGCCCTTAACACGTCATATTTGGCTCTAAGCCGGCTGCTAGTGTCCCTGACATATAAACCCAGGGCTCCTGATGCTATGCTGGTACTATTTTATGACAATTTAGCAAAGTTGATGGAAGGTTACTCAGTAATTCCTTTTCTCCCTTGAGTAGCTTAGAATAGAAGGGATTAAGAAGCTAAAACGTGGGGGGAAAAAACCACAACCCCTGCTTACCATCTTTTCACCAACAATCTTCCTACCCACGTAGCCATCAAGCCCTAGCCACCAGCCACTGGTGTTTCCCATTCATTCAACTGCCCTCCAGCTGACAAATCACTCTCCTAAGACCCAGGGTTACCAACAGTCCCCTGTGCTCAAGACTCCTCACTCCCTCTCTTCTGACACAAAAGCAAGAGTGGGTTCTCTGAGCCCCAGAACACCGAAGAGGGGCAAAATGCCTTACTCGTGTGGCCGAAGTTTCTCGACAACCAGTAGTCAGTTCAGTAAACACCAGAGAACTCCAAGCAGGGAGAGCAGCCCAGATCTCTACCCTTGTGTTTTACAGTCCCTTCTGGAACCCCAATGTTCAGTCCTCCCCCCACTAGGTGACTGACATTTTCTCGTGTGTACATGTCAGCCCACACAAGGCTACGCAGCTAGAGGTGGCAAGTTTCATGCTAATTCAACACTACCACTGACTGCCCTGTGAACTAGGAGGACGGCTGCTTTCTCCAGAGAAATCGGTGTTTTAATCTGCAAAACACAGAGGGACGCCTCAACACCTTCATCCGTGGGGTTACACGGATGGAACAACATTCCAAATACAATCAATCCCCATAATGAGGTCACGGTTGGCCTTTACACGCATTCGTCTTCTTGTCAACTTGTAGTGACAGTGTCACAGACTCTAGAAACTCATATTTCATTTCTCCATGTATTTAATGAATCACCATTCAGCCCTAATGGTCTCAATAATTAGTACACTGGTCAAATACATCCTATTGTAATTACAAAAACCAAAGGGAATTCAAACTAGACTATTTTAATGAATATTGATGACCATGCTTACAGACTTTAGGTATTTACCCGATTCATCTGTTTTTAGAGGAAAACGACCACTGAACATGGATGCCAGCATCGAGTCTTTAAAGCGGCACAAGGACTCACGTCTGGCTGTGTAAATACAGCCACCCACATTCAGTCGAAGAATATCTAACACCTTTTCTTCTGCCTTGTGACCTTCCATTGCTCCCAGCAACACCTGAATTTTTGCCTTCAAACGCTTTCAGAAACTGCAAAGTAAGGGCGGTCCTGTTCCACCTCTGTGAAAACAAAGAACAACCACTGCTGACATGTCCTACAATGCACTAAGTAGATAATGAAATAAACACATTTTAATGTGACTCAAATTCCTCAGCTCTGACAATACTGAAGGGCTTTATGTAATATTAAAGAAGTCCGAGATATGCTGGGAAGCTGGGAAACTTTGGCTCAGAGCATTTGCAAATGATAAACTGTCACCAACCAAATCATAGCTATTGAAATGACCATGTAAAGAATTAAAATAATGCGTTGAATGTCACATATAAAGCAAAGGTGAGACTTGCTTATGTTCTCTGGTACTCACATATTTTCTTATGCTACAATATGCTACAGTAAGTCTGAGGGAGCTGTCTAGACCACAGAGAGGGTCAGCACGTAGCGTGGGATTAGGCTACGAGGCTCTACCACTTACTAGGGTGGGACAAGTACTTATCTCCCTCTGCTGTTTCCTCGTCTATAAAATGGACACAGGGATGGTGCCCACCTCAAAGGACTATCAGAGGAAGGACCGACAGGACATATAAAAAGCTAAGAGAAGCTGACAGAACATACAGGACAGTCTCTGGCTCAGAGTAAGTACTTGGTAAGTGATAAATATTATCTATAATGATATAAATTTCACGATAAGGTGAATACTGAGGGATTGAGATTGGCTCCGGGGATTTAAGGAGACGTAAGAGCAGAAAGTATTAACAATCATCATTGCAGTTCCCAGGTTAGGTCACTAAGGAACACGTCATTTATCGACTGAAATCAGGATTTTATGTATACCAGCAGCCAGACCGGTCCAGAAAGCAACAAATAACACCTCTAAATCATGTGGTTTCTCCAGTCCAAAGCGGCTGAAGCTTTAGGGAAGTTTTAAGGATCTGATTTGCTAATCCTCTCAGGAGATGGATCACCCCAGAGGACTGTGGGGTTTCTACCGAACCGAAAAAAACATGGTGAAAAAGCTTCTCCTGATATAACTGCACATTCCACAGCACCTGTAAAATGGCTGTCTAGAGGCTCAGTCCTGGCAACTCACGTGTACTGCGAGCATCCTCTCCGAGATGCTCCAGTCTGGCCAGTCTCTAATGCATCAGGGAAAGGAGACCACTGGTGTCTGACAAAAACACTGGGTGTCAAACATGGTCAGTAGACAGAAACTCTCACGGACCCACGGTCCAGCTTTCCAACGCCACTCATCAATGTGACTTCTTCTGCTGCCTGGAAGTCGGAGGCGCAACCGGGCCAAGATCCAAGTGGGAGAACCACGTGTGAAGCCTGGGAGGGAACGGGCTCGGCCGCCCCAGCCACCAGCCCCCTGGAATCCATCTCTTCTTGAGAGCCCCAGGCAAACCACATCCCTTGCACCCCCTTGCATGAGCTTTCCACGCGCCCCCCAGTTAGAATCCGTGCGAAGTCCACCAAATATACTTTGTACCTCTCTACACGTTTTATCTCATTTATTTAATCCCTATGGGGGGGGGACCATAAGCCCTAGGAAGGCAGACTCTACAGCACTCTTAATAATTCCCATTTACTCAGTGCTTATGGGGTTTCAGTTACTGCAGGAGACACGTGGCAGACATTATCTAATTCACAAAAGCCCCACTGGGTCGGAATTACTGTCCCTACTGACAGAGGAGGACCCTGGAGAAAGACATAGAGGGAGGTGAGCAGGGTCCACACTAGGGCTCCGCCGCGGGTAAGTGGTGGGGTCGGCCCCAATCCGGGCCAGCAGGACCAGCTGCAAGTGTTTTCGCTGCACCCCACACTGCCTACTTCAGCATCGGCTCATCCGCAAGGCCCCTGACCCGGGCACTCCACTCAGTAAGCATCCGTCCATCTGCAGGCTTCTGCTGTGACAGGAGGAACACGGCAGCACCCTGAGCGCGAGGATGTAAAGCCGCCCCTGCCTCACTCCGGTTCTCCTACGGCAGAGAACCATCCGTCACCATTTCAAGGCCAGTCACCGGCCCCGTCCTCAAATGCACCCGCTTAAACACTGGCTGTGTCGGAAGTGCCCTGCCCTCCGTGGAACTGCCCCCAAAGTGCGGCTCGCGGACCCCCTGCCTCAAAACAATCAGAGACGCTTGCTGTCAATTCAGATTCCCGGGCCACAGCACAGAGTCCGGTTCAGAAAGACTGAGGTGGGGTCGGGAGGCCGCCCGCGGACCCCACTTTGAGAAACGCTGCTCGGGGACTTCGCACTCCTCCCACGATGCGGGACAAGAGGGGGAGGGGCTGGGACACCAGAAAGCCCCGCCAGGGTCTCCCCGCTGCCCGGGGGCCCCCGAATCGGCCCGAAGCCCGAGCCTGCAGCCCGGATCGCCCGCGATATCGGCGCGATCCGGGCCCTGCCTCGGGGCGCCCCGCTCCTCCCGGGCCCGCGGCCCACCCGGCGCCCAGGTCCTCTGCACGGGCGGGGCCGGGTAGGCGGCCTCCTCGACTGACCTGCGGCCCGCCCGGCCCTCGGCGCCGACGCCGGACGCCGCGGGGCCCGACGCGGAAGTGAGGGCCTCCTCGGCGGCTCGGCAACTCGGGTAGCAGCGCGGCCCTAGCGGCGCCCCCGTGTGGCCCGGCCCGGCGGCGACTACACCCGGAAAGAGGGCGGCCCCGCCCCGGACACGCCCCTCCCCGCCCCCGGACTGGCCCCGCCCCTCAGGCCGCCTCAGCCTGCGGGCTCGGGTAGGGCGAGAGTGGGAGAGCTCGGTTCCTGCAGGAAAAGGCAAGACCTGGCAGAGAGGCAGAGGAATGTCGCGTCTGTGCAGAGGCTGCTTTTGCGCGAGAAGAAAAGAAACAACACCGATGTTCTGATGGTTCCTGGTCAGTTAAGTAGTAAGAGTTAGGAAGAGTTATGTCTTCTTACTCCCGGGTGAGAGCCCTTCCCTCCAAACTGAGCGGCTCAATGCCAAGTTTAGTAATATACCACATGCACTTGGATAAGTCCATTCGGACAGTGTCTGTACTTTACAAAGCTGTTTCACACAGAGCATTCTTGTTTAATTTAGGCTGTTGTACTACCCCATATTTTTATTCCCATCACAGCAAAGAAAATTGAGGCAGGAGCTATCTTTGAGTGAACATTAATGTCCATCCGATGTTATGCCGAGCCCGTTGCATGATTATTTCATTTTATCTTAACTACACCCCCAAAAGAGTTCGTCCAGCTTCCAGCAGCACCTTACCTCGTACGAAAGACTTTGCTAGATATTTCAAGATGAATAAAACCCAGTCCTGTTTTCAAGATACTATTTCAGGGTACTATTTCTAGAGCCAATAGTAATTGGTTCCCAGTTCCTGTGCCTGGGTCTTAGAAGGGAAAAAGCCAATGAGACCTGCACCCACCTACCCCCTCAGACAGTAGTAGTCCCTGGAGAGTGGGAAGATTGATTCGTCCTATAAATTGAGCATTAGCTGTGGACCAGGCACTAGGAGGGAAGGACTGAACAAGACAATCAGTGCCCCGACCCATGGCACCCACATTCTAGTGCAGTGGTCTGGAAAACTTTACTGGGTGTGCCTGTCAGACTCTGTTGCTAGAGCATGTGATTCTTTATCTTGGGGTTATGAGTCTGAGCCCCATGTTGGGGGTAGAGATTACTTAATAAATAACAGTTTAGAAAAAAAAATACTTTTTCTGTAAATGTTCTAGACTTTGTGGGCCATATGCAGCTGCTCAGTTTTGCTGTTGTGATGTTAAAGCAGCCATAGTTAATACCTAAATGAGAGTGACTGTGTTCCAACTCTGTTTGTGGACTTTGGAATTTGAATGTCACATAATATTCCTGTGTTGTGAAATATTCTTTTTTTTTTAAGAATTTATTTATTTGACAGAGAGAGATCATAAGTAGGCAGAGAGGCAGGCAGAGAGAGAGAGAGGGAAGCAGGCTCCCTGCTGAGCAGAGAGCCCAATGCGGGACTTGGTCCCAGAACCCTGAGATCACGACCCGAGCCGAAGGCAGAGGCTTAAACCACTGAGCCACCCAGGTACCCCTGTGTTGTGAAATATTCTTAAGGAACTTTTTTCAAACACTTAAATATGTAAAAACCATTCTTCGATCCTGGCCATACAAAAACAGTTGGCTGCCTGTGGGTCATAATTTGCCTACTCCTGTTCAAGTGGGAGAAACAGACACTAAGCAAAGTGGTTGCGTGTAGTGGAAACTGCTTGAGAGGAAATAGGATCATTTTGGGTGGAGATGATGGCTGGGGTGGAGAAGGCCCTGAGGATGAGGGGGCATTTAAGTTGAGCACTAAGGATGAAAATGAACCTACCCTCTGAAAAGATGGGGGAAGAGTAATTATGGAGAAGAGAGAGCAAGCGGAAAGGCCTGAAGGCAGGAAAGGATTTGACAGTTTGTAAGAAGAGATAGGACTCTAGCAGGGCTGGAGCTTGGTAAGCTTGGGGCTAAGGAGGAAGGTGACGTAAGATGAAGCTAAAAAGATGGGCAAGAGCCAGGTTTTAAAAGTACCTTGTGGCGGTCATAGGAGTTTAAATTTTACCCCAGGTATAATGGAAAACCATCGAAAGGTTGTAAGCAGGAAAGTGGCATGATTGATTTGACTATTAAAAAAAATCACTCTGGCTACTATGTTCAGAATGGTTTGGAGAGTAGGCAGCCCTTGCAATAATCCAGAGGAGAAATGGCATAGCTTCTATTCAGTGATGATGGCAACAGAGAGAAATGGATGACTGCGAGAGATGTATTTAGGAAACAGAAATTACATAACATTGCTGACTGTTCGGCTGTGGTGTGTTAGTTCAGGTTCTTTGAGAAACAGCCCATAAAGTTAGATTAAACATGCTGAAAACTTATTGGAGAAGATACCTGTAAAGGAAAAACAAGGAGGGCTCTGAAGGGGGCTGGGAAAACCTTTAGACTGGATGGTGAATCAACTCTTGTGGAGGACAGGAAAAAAAAAAAAAAAACGGGCAGGAAAAGTTGTAGATATGATGCAAGATGCTCCCGAAGAAAGCCAGTGGGGAGTCCTCAAACCAATGCCTCCCATCAGAGGAGTCTTATGTCTCCCAGGATTGGGTCTGCCTTACCAACCCTGCCTCACTCAGTCACTGGCTCGGAGCAATCTGGGGGAAGTACAGCCTGGATCATGGTGATAGATTTGATAGCGACTGGGCCATCAGCCAGTAATGTTCCCTGTGACCAGAGATCTGAGCGGTGTGTTTTCATGGCTGCCACATATGGGAAATACGGGAAAGGAAACATGCAGGGTCACTTCCAAAATGTTGGCTTGAACAACTGGATGCTGGCGCCATTTACTGAAATGGTGACTTATGGGAGAGATCAGAAGCTGTATTTAGGACTATAATGATTAAGATGTTTAATAGGCATCCAACTAGATATTGAATAGCTGGTGAATAAATTTGGAACCCAGGAGTGAAGTTCTGTGCTAAAGGTTTGAATTTGGAAGGCATCAGCATTAAAAGCCATGGAACTGGATAAAATCGCTTGGCAAAGAGCAGGTAAATGAGAAGTGGTATGGAGTGTTGCCTCCAATACCTAGAGTTCAGGCTTAGAAGAAAAAGCCAGAGGGGAGGAGAGTATGGAGCTACAGAGAGGAAAATGTCATTTCTGTCAAATGCTGCTCAGAGATCAAGGGTCCATTGGATTGGATAACATGGGCATTCTTGGTGACCTTGACAAAAGCAGTTTCAATGCTACGATGAAGAGGCAAGCCCAGATAAAACTGTCCAACGGGTAAATGTGAGATGGGAAACTGGTTATAAAGCTGGAGAAGACCTATGGTAAAGAGAACATGAGAGAAGTGGAGCTGTAGTCAAGGTCGGATACAGGATCAAGGAAAGAAGCTCTAGGATGAAAATTACTAGAGCAGGTTATGCTGATGAAATGATTCAGTGGAAAGGTAGAGATTGGCGATGAAGGAGGGAGAGTGGGGACCACTGAAGGAATAAGAACTTGAGAAGGCAAAAGAGTACTGGAACCAGATCACAAATGGATGATTTTCCTTTAAAGTTTTTAATTTAATTCCAGTTAGTTAACATACAGTGTTATATTAGTTTCAAGGGTGCAATATAGTGATTCAACAATTCCTTATAACACCCGGTGCTCATCACAAATGTACTCTGTAATCCCATCACCTGTTTCTCCCCTCCCTACCTACCTCCCCTCTGGTGACCAGCAGTTTGTTCTCTATAGTTAAGAGTCTGTGTATTGGTTTCTCTCTCTCTCTCTCCTCTCTCTCTCTCGTTCCCTTTGCTCATTTGTTTTGTTTCTTAAATTCT